CGGTGGTTTTGACATGTCCAGAGGAGGGACGGTGGTTTTGACATGTCTAGAGGAGGGACGGTGGTCTGGTCATGTCCAGAGGAGGGACAGTGGGTATATTGGTAGAATAATGTTAGAAATGCAGCTGCCAGGAAAAAGACAAAGAAGATGTAGGGATACAGTTTGAAAGGACATTGTGGTAGTTGGAGTGAGGACAGAGTGAGACAGAGGATGACTCGAAGGAGACCCCTGAATAGGGAAAAGCTAGAAGAACCGTCTTACAGATGGTCTTATTTTAGTTATTTACTAAACAAAGACCACAGTTGAAGCAAAAGGTCAAAATAAATATCTGGACAGCTCAGGAAACATATTTTTCTGTGGTAACTGAATGAATTAAACTTTATTAAACAATTGTTTTAGTTATCATGATGTAAAAAGCTACCTCCTCAACTAAAAGTCACTTTATCTACTTGTATGTCACACTCATCAGTTACTGATGCAATTTGTTCTGACCTCTTTTTTTCTAATCAGTTTTTGTCATTCTCACACCTCCACAGTAATTTACAATGATGTGAACTGTCAACACTCCTCTGCTGTTTTCAGCTTCTTCTTTCCACTCATTAGAAAGTGTAGAGGAGGAGAAGGGTGAGCTGCGAGCTGCTCTGCACAATGCCACTCAGAGCTTGCAGGAACAGCACCAAGAGGATGTTGCTGAGCCGCAGGCGAAGCTGCAGGAAAAGCATCTGAAGGATGTGACTGAGCTGGAGCAGAGCCTGCTGGCCCGCTACCAGGCTGAGTGGGACAAGCTGCACCTCACCTTCCAACAGGAAGCTGACAGCTGCAGAGCTATTCTGCAAAAGCAGGTTGGTCTATTCAAAAGCTCAGATTTAATCAGAAAACGGTGTTTTCCTCAATGTTGCTTGTGTCCTAGTGACGAGACGATTTGTTTCTTTGATGGTTGGAAATAAGCTGTCAATGTTACTGTTTTTTATTATTTTTAAGATGACAGAACTGAAAGCAAATCATGAAATCACAAAACTTGAGCTGAACCATGAGCAGCAGCATGAGCTGCAGCGGCATGAGCAGCAGCGACATGAGCAGAAACATGAAGGTGAGAGAAAACCAAATTCAATTCAGTTTATTTATACATTGCCAAGTCACAACAGAAATCATCTCAGGGCACTGAACAAAAACAATAACGTATAAAAAATAATAATTTAACATTATTTATCTGAGGAGCAGACTACTTTGAATTAAACGCCATCACAAAACTCATCTTGAGCAAGCATGAAGGTGACAGTGGAAAGGAAAAACTCCCTCATGAGGAAGAAACCTTTAGCAGAACAAGGCTCAGGACAAGCGGCCATCTGCTTCAACCGACTGGGTTTGGAGGAACGGATACACAATGGCAGGTCAAGAATCACATTAAGACAACAAGTATCAAATGAAAACTATTCGATTTTAACAATTCATTTAAGGAAATGAGGTCAATTTGTCCTCTAGTAGTCTAAGCTGAAGGCAGCGTAACAAGCCAACCCTAATTATAGGATTTATCAAAAAGGAAAGTCTTGAGCCCAGTCTTAAAACTGGACAATGTGTCAGCCTCACGGACAGAAACTGGAAGTTGGTTCCACAAGAGAGGAGCCTGATAAATAAAAGATCTTCCTCCCATTCTGCTTTAGGAAACTCCAGGGACCGTGAGTAAACCTGCAGTCTGAGAGCAAAGTGCTCTGTTTGGATAATATGGAACAACAAGATTTCTAATATAAGATGGAGCTAGGTTGTTGAGAGCTTTGTAGGTTAGAAGTAAGATTTTGAATTCAATTCTGGATTTGACAGGGAGCCAATGAGAGAAGCTAAAACTGGAGATATGATCTCTCCAACTAACTCCAGTTAAGACTCTGGCAGCAACATTTTGGATCAACTGAAGACGTTTTAAAGAAGTATTTAGACACCCAGTGTAGTGGACTAGGCCCATGTCAAAAACTAAGTCTAAGGTCAAAATCTTGACCTTAAGAACCTTGTGGGACAGAAGCTGTCATTTCATGTATTTGAATCCATAAATACAGGTTCACCCATCCTGAGACTTTCTTTCTTGAAGATTCAAGTGAAAAGAACACTCTTTTTTTATTATCATTACTACCACAAATGTTGATAATCAAAGTGTCTTAGTTCAAACCATTTTAGATGTTGCAGTGCACTAATCAATGTTATTAACTGAGTAATGATTTTTATTCTCATGTCAAAGCTGTTACAGAGTTTATGCATTTTCTGATTTCTGCCTTTGAATGAGCAAGTGTGTGCGTTCCCAAGGTTGGAGTCAAACGAAAAACAAGTTGTTATGTTAAAACTGTCATGTTTTAGAATCCTCTCAGACGTAAGTAGAGATGTTTTGCACCTGTTTCCTGAAACACGCCAAAACAAAACCCTCTCTGTCTGTGAGAACATTTCTGATCTGCCTCATAACAATTCTCGCTGCCTCTAACCTCTTACGTCACAAAACCCACCCCGTCTGGTCGTTTCTGACCAATGAACAAATCCCAAAAAGTGAACCGGGAAAGAGTCTTTAAAATGTCAGTACTTCCTGGTCTAGTTAGTTCGGTGGGAGTTCTGTAAACTACACGAGAGCTAAAGTTCTGATGGAGTGCTGTTGGAGTTCCTGACATGACAACAAAGCTCTTCCGAGTTCCATGGGATTATAACATTTTCCACTGAGGTGAATGTGTGTCGAACAGAGCCTCGCCATTACTTCGGACGAGTAACAGCATCCTACTGAGACGCTGAAAGGGTGCGTTAAACGGAATCCCACCTGAGTCATCTCCAGGTAAAGGAGCCGATTTCATCACCTAAGTGTACTGTAAGGAAAAGCTGAAGAAAGCCGGAGAGTGTCGATTCTGGTGAACACATTTCTTCCCTCCCATACCATCTTTTATTCCCTCTAAACTTCTTTCATCTCTAAACTTTTCTCTCAAGTAGAAATTCTTCCAGATATTTTAGAAATGTCTGTGTAAAATGCTCACCCACATTCATGTGGGTAAAAGATCATAATTGTACAGTTTTCATAAATGTCTTTGGTGCAGCAACGGAAAAATCATGGCCGTATGATTTTTCCTGATTGATTGCTTATGTTGTTATTTTCATAATTTGCCAAATTAATGTACATGTTTGATGTTAAATTTGATTCTGTAAATAAATGACCGCATTCATTTTGATGGGTCAAATCTAAATGACGTCTCACGTTTGCATTTCCTTAAATTCAATGCACGTTTTATTCAGTCCAGAAAAATGAGGAACCCGCGTTAAATGATGAATATATGCCAGCATCTGTTCATCTACACCAGATAATAAACCATTGCAATAGTCCAGTCTAGACGTGACAAATGCATGGACCAGTTTTTCTGCATCATTTTTAGATACGATTTTTCGGATTTTAGTGATATTACATAGAAGGAAGAACGTGGTTCTTGTAACGTTTTTAATGTGGGGGATAAAAGACATGTCCTGATCAAAAATGACACAAATAATTTTAACATTAGAGCTGGAGGCTAGATTAAAGCCATCCAAGGATGGTGAAAGACTGAAAAATTTATTCCTAAGGTGCTCGGGTCCAAAAACCAAAATCTGTCTTGTCTGTATTCAAAATATGAAAATTAAAGGTCATCCAGGTTTTTATTTTTTAGGTTTTTTTTTTTTTAAGACATGCTTGTAGTCTAAGCAGCTGATTGGATTCATTGTGTTTAATAAATATACAAATATAACTGTGTATCATCAGCATAACAATGAAAATGTATCCCATGCTGTTTAATAACATTACCTAATGGATGCATATACTAGGTAAAGAGTATTGGGCTAAGCTCTGAACCTTGAGGAATTCCCTGACCAACGTTGGTGTATGATGAATATTCATTATTTTCATTGACAAATTGGAATTTATCAGATTTATCTGATAAATTCCAAATATAAACCAATTTAGAGCTGTTCCTGTAATTCCAATATCACAGTCAAGTATCTATAGTAGAATATTGTGAACAACTATATCAAATGCATCACTGAGGTCTAACAGGACCGATGTAGACACCTGTCCATTATCGGAGGCTATGAGAATATCATTCACCAGTGCAGATTCAGTGCTGTGGTGAGCTCTAAAACCTGACTGAAACTCTTCAAACAGATTTTTTTTTTCTCTCCCCTTGTCCTGTTCAGCATTGTGACACTCAGAATTATTGTCCGAGTGTCAAAGTGATGCCCAACAGATTTACTTTCACAAGCAGAATATTATGGCTGGCCTTAATGCTCCACTTGATATATAAATAAAACTTTATTAGAATTTGCTTTGAGTTTGTTTCAGATATAATGGACATGGGGATGAAAACAAAGAAGAAAACAAAGCAGAAAAGGGAGAGAAGGGTTAAAAGGTAAAAAAGGAGATAGGAATAGAGGAGAGAGAGAGGGATAAAGAGAACTCAAATCAACATCATTGAAGTCTGCCTCTAGACCTGTGGAAAGAAAAAAAAAAAAACAAGACAAAACCGAGAAACCACAACAACAAGCAACATATATAATGATACTTATAACATAATTGGAAAGTATTTTATACAGTTCATGGTAATACAAGATATATTTAGTGGTCTCCACAACCCAACTGAGTGTGTATCTGATAAACACCTGAGTCTAAACACCTGTGAGAGCATGCTTGTCACTATAAGGTTTCTCCATAAAAATGTTCAATAATGGATGTGGGGACCCATAAACCCGTCCCCACAGGACACAAAGGTAACACAGGGAAGACCGGAACCACAGACACACAGCGGCCCCCAAGCCCGGAACTCCGGTAGTCACCCAACAGGGACACCCGCACCCCCCAGAGAGAGAGGCAAAGGGAAGCCCCTGGTGACCCACAGCAACCACAATGCAGAAACCCCAGGAGGCTGCAACGACGAGTCCACAGGCCTCGCCGGCAACCCGCCTCTCCAGAGTAGATCCAGCCATGGACAATGAGCCCCGAGTCCTGAGGTCATACCACCCCCGTCAGAGGCCCGACAGAGCCAGGGCACCCAGGTCCCCGCAGGCAGCCACCAGAGTGGGCCGGCACACACCCCACCACCCAGCCCCAGCTGCTGAGAGCCGCCAATGCACCGGCGGCAGGGGGCCCACCACCAGAGGGGAGCACGACGGGGGAAGTAGACCCCACATTAAATGGGGGGCCCAAATTGATCCAAAAGATGGGACCACCTAAAACCCAACCCGAGACATAAACAGGCACACAGACAGCCCGACAGAGCCTCTGTTGGGTCGTCCATGCGCCCCACTCTCCCGACAGTGACCACAAGCCGGCCCCAGGCCGGGGGCCAGAGCAGCAGGGAGCAGCAGTTGAGGAAGGCTGGCCCAGCGCACCAAGTCAAGTCAACTTTATTTATAGAAGGACTAGGCTCCCCAACAGCCCCACACCACAGACCCGGAGAAGCCTCGGCATGCCACCTACGCACCCCCTCCCATACACACAGTACACCCCCCCACCCCCACCGCGAATGCCACACCAGGCCAACAAGCCAGCACCCCGTCAAAGTGAAGCCTCACCCCCGATCGTCGCCATACACCACCAACGAACACACACACACACACAACCACAGCCGACCCCCTGCTGGAACCCGGCATCACCCCAGCCAAAGGGCCGGTCATTGCAATCGGTAACCTTGATCAAAATCCATATATTTATAATAATTATTAGAAACCCTTCCCACACATGTGCAATGCCTAAACAATGTTTCTAAACGTTCTAAAAGAGCACAGGTGTCATGATCTCCGCGCTCTGCCACCTGCTAAACGCCCCCTGCCACACCCACTTCTCCGCTGCAATCACACTGATGCTGCACAAGCAGTAATGTTTATTTTTAATAATCAAGTGCAACCGGGACCAAGCCTTTAGTTCCCCTTGGCGAATGAGCCAGGCTACTGGGAAATGTCCTGGCCCTCCCAATGGCCAGTCCACTCCAACTCTTGCTGCACCAGGTGCTAAATCATTTAAAACGAATAATTTTAAATTATTTAGGTTTGGTAAAATAGATTAGATAAAAAAAAAAAAAAAGTTGGTAAAATAAATTATTTAAAATGATTTAGCACCTGCTGCACGTGGGCTGCATATATATATACACATTTTTTATTTTTTTTTTCTTCTGCGCTGCTTCTTCTTCTGCTTCTACTTGAGCGGTCCCCAGTCTCTGCCAGATTATATGATCACCTTGTGCCTGAAGTAATCCATCGTTTTTAATCCTGCTCTGTTCCTGAGCTACTTCATGACCATGGATTCCTCAACTTTCTCGCCCAAGGTGGATACTTCTACCCACTGGATATCAGTTTGTGGTTGAATATCGGGATCCCCCTCATAATTATTACATGGCAAAAGATCAAAAGAAAGACTATTGCTGTGTAATGAATATGAGCGGGACCTGGAAATCGGAGTGAAAAAAAAAATGTAACGTTTTTTCAGGAGGACAAAGTCAGTCATCGCTCTGTAAAGCTTGATCACATATGTAGAAGCCAAATTTCAAAGAGAGCTGCTCTCTTTCATTACGAGGGGTACACGGAAATTGAAACGGAAGTGAACAAAAATATTAAAATTTTATCAGGAGGAGAAAGTCAGCTGTCACTCAAAGAGCTCGATCAAGGGTGAAAAACCTAAGCTGGGATGACGTCGGAGGGAAAGGTTTGGACGGATCACGTGATATGTGGGTGAAAGTTCGACAAACACTTTCTTCAGAATGTGGAGCTTGGTTCTGGGAGCTGAACGCCTAGAGTCCAGGGTCTGAGTTTGTGGTCCAAAATAAAGGTGTGGGTCATTCACAGAGGCAGGAAAAGCCACACTTCAGAAGGTTTTGGCTGGAATCATTGGCCTGAAGGCAGAGCAGACGTTGCGGTCCAGATATCCTATGGGCAGAAGTATTGTCTTGGTGAGGCCAAGGGAAGGAATACGTGGTCATGAAATGGGTCAGGAATGAGAGCATGGAAAAAAAAACCCACTGGATTACTTCAGGCATGAGGCGATCAGATAATCTGGCAAACACTGGGGAGCAGTTAAGTGCAGGGCAAAATAAATAAATAAAAGTGCAGCAGGTGCTAAATCATTTTAAATAAATTATTTTAAATTTAGCCCCTGCTGCAGCAGGAGTTTGGGGCAGACTGGCCATGGGGAGCAATGGGACATCTCCTGGTGGCCTGGCCCGTTCACCGAGGGGAACTAAAGGCTCAGTTTGGGTCATGCTTGATTATTTAAAATAAACATTGTTGCTCATGCAGCATGGATTGTTTATTTAAACTATTACACTATTTAAATTTAATTTGTTTACACAGAAGGAGGGAGATTGGGAGTGACACAGCTGATGAGCATGTGATTGCATTGGAGAAGTGGACATGGCAGAGGGCGGAGTTCATGACATGCTGCAGGAGGGAGCTTCTCCCTACACCTGTGGGCTGCACACAGGGGCAGCAGGTGCTAAATAATTAAAAATAATTTATTTTAGATAAACAACCCATACTACTCGTGCGGCTCATCCATCAGCCAATCGTGTGTCATGTCCAATCTTACTTTGAAAAACCACGAAAGAGCGAGTCTGCAAAAGACGGACCACGAAGTAGCGAGGGACCACCATATTAATAATTTAATAAGCCTCGAACAGTAAACATTTGAGTTCTGTTCTCTTGGATTAAATCAAAGCTCCTTATTAAAACATGCACACACTGATTCCAGTTGTTACTATTTTCTATGTGTGTTTATATATAGCAGTATAGTACAGTAATGATATAATATGACAAAAGGGTTAGTTTTTATCATGAGGAAAATCTTCCCTCGGCCCTAAACACGATGTAAAAATTGTTAAACTAAATATGAAATGGTAATTTTCATAAACTTGTGCATTTTTCAGAAGTCAGGAGGGTCCACGGTGAGGAGCTCCAGTGTTTCAGCCAACGTGCCGAGACTTCTCTCTGTGTAAGTCTGTTTGTTGAACTCGTCACTGCTTGAAATGACACAAGCACTTTGACACAGCAGTGAGAAAGTTTACTGCTCATCAAGTTTACTTCTCTCATCTTTGTTTTAAGCCCACAGTGAATTTAAGAAGCCGACCTTGAGAATAATTCTCTGCTTGAGAAGGAAGTAACTGTTAGAAAGTTTTCAATCATGTTTTCTGTGTAGTTTAGGTCATTTGCAGTGGTGGGATGTAACAAAGTACAAGTACTTCGTTACTGTACTTGAGTACATTTTCCATGCATCTGTACTTAAGTAGAGTAAAACATGGGTACTTTTGACTTTTACTCCACTACATTTTACGTTGTGTCTGTACTTTCTACTACACTACATTTCTATAATGCGTTACGAGTTACATTCACGTTGCATTTTTAAATTTGTTTGTTAGTTTGAAACTATCCAGTGGCGAGAGGAGAGTTGGTCCAGTGAATCATTGCAAAGTGTGCAGGTAATGTTAGAACCGCCTTCAAGAAGAGCTGGACCAATGACGTATATTCTAGTATATACAACATTGAGCTGGGCGCACCCGCAGCACCGCTAACACACCCAAAATGTATTCCACCGCAGAGAATCAGCCAGAAGATACGTGTCACCCATGGCCTTATTGAAAGATTCTTGAAAGACTGACAGGCTGTTGACAGGCTGTTGACAGGCTGTTGACAGGCTGTTGACAGACTGTTGACAGACTGTTGACAGACTGTTGACAGGCTGTTGACAGGCTGTTGACAGGCTGTTGACAGGCTGTTGACAGACTCCCAAGAGTCAGACTGGACTGAAAAACTTTGAAAACCAACTTCTTCTGAACTTGAACAAGAAATTCTTGTTGCAATATTAAAATGTGTCAGTTCATGGGACGTTAGGAGACGAGAGATGTCTCCAAATGTTTCAACACTCTGGTCCAAGTTTTGAAAATGGTGTCAGGAAGTTAAAATATTGTTCACTATTGACCCATTACAAGGTTGACTAGAAAGTATTTTAACTATTGATGACAAACTTATTGTGTTATGAGTGGTTAGTGTATATTTAGTTGATGTTTTTCTTAGTTCATATCTTAGATGTTATTACTGTTTTTTCTTATACATTTTATTGTTGGGTGTAACTGGGACCCTGTGTACATAATTTCGCTCCACCACATGTACCACATGAGGTGCGAATGACGATAAAGAATCTCTGACTGACTCAAACTGGAGTTGAAATGATCAGATATTCCTTTGTTAGTTGTGTCTAATGCTCCTTTTTTCATCCAGACAACTTTTACTTAAATGTGTTTACTGCAGTTAAAATGACACATTGGTTTTGTTTTGTGTTAAATAAAAACTTTCAAAGGTATAATCTTCTTTCATATTTTGCTTAATGACATTTAACTCTGCAGGTCATCCCTGAAATTCTGACACACAGAATCACAAGTCCAAGTGTGAACTGTGTCACAGAGTAAACACAGTAAAAACATGTATTATCTGCAGAATCGTTCATTAAAATGGCTCAACACTATTAATATATTACAGAAAATATGGTAGGCACACTTAAACCATTGCATTAGGTAACACATTCAGCAAGTACTTTTACTTTTAATACTTTGAGCATTTTTAAAAGCAAATATTTACTTTTGCTTAAGTAAAAACGTTAATGTGGTTTTACTTTTACTAGAGTACACTTTTGTCTGTTTTTTGTACTTTTACTTTAGTAGTGTTGGAGTACGTTCTCCACCACTGGGCATTTGTTGAAAGAGATTATGATGAAAACATCTCATGACCTGATGTTTAAGACATTCAAGATGGAAAAACACTTAAAACTGTATTAATTTATTTCAGTTTTGTTATTTAGTAGCTGTAATTAAAGTACTTCCCTTTAATTGACACCATGACATTTCGTTTTACATGATTAAATGGAAACACTGTACGAGTTCAGATGTACAGTATGTTCCTGTGAGCTGAGCAGGTTGTGAGAGCTCCGTATTGCCCTCTGTTGACGTCTGATCATTTTCTTTAGTTTAACAGACCAGAAGACGTTTCTCTACCTCTTTCTCCACCTACAGAAGGACTCTTACACACTGTATTTGGAGAAGGAGCTGGAAAGTCTGAAAGTAGTTCTGGACCTCAAAACCAAGCAGCTTTGTCAGCAGGAGAAGAACCTGATGGAGATCAGCGAACTGGTGAGAACTACAACAAAGCTGGAAAAGGATCACCTTGAAACGAGGGGGAAAAAACCTTCCATATCACATCCGTTTGTTTGTTGTTGTCCTTCAGAGGGAGAGAAATTTGATGTTGGAAGAGAACATCAAGAAGATCCAGCAGGAGAATGAAGACCTGGCAGTTCGTGTGGAAAAGCATGCCGCTATGTCGAGGTACGAACTCACAAACTGTTCTCCCAAACATCATTCAGGTCAGATTGTTTGTCTTTGTCCTCAGCTGAGCATGTTGTGAACAAACCGACAGACCTTAATGAAACTCCACTTCTGAACAGTTCAAGATGTCTGCCACAGCGAACATCTGGTGGTGGTGTGTCACTCACACACACACTTTGAGTGTGACATATTAACAAACATCTTTGGTCAAAGCTTTGGCATTAACTGTTTGAGACAGTACAGTTAGCAAAATATCTCCAGAGCAGCTCTCATACAGTAATGTTGGATTTTCATTTACAACTGAAAGCATTTAGTCAGTAAGATGGTACGGAGTGCCATTTTTAAAGTTACACAGTCTAAAATTAACATCAGTATTTTTGTCATAAGAAAAAATTTAGGTTTTTTTCAAAGTCATATTTTCACAATGTTATTTATACATTTATAAATGTCATGGTTCCAAACTAAATATTTAATTAACAACAAAATATTCATGTCCAAACTAAATGTTTAATTTACAAACTAAATATTTAACTTGCAAGTTAAATATTTTGTTCTTGAACTCAATACTTAGGTGTAAATTTAATATTTAATTTACAGGCTAAACATTTATTTTCAAAACTAAACATTTAATTTCTAAACTAAACATTTAATTCCTAAACTAAATATTTAATTAGCAAATTACATATTTATATTAGACCTAAATATTTATTTTCCAAGCTAAACATTTAATTTTCAAAATAAATATCTAATTTGCTAACTATTTAGTTCAGACATAAATATTTAACTTGTAACAAGCTAAATATTTAGTTGGTAAGTTAAATATTTATTTTGGAAATTAAATGTTTAGTTCGAAAAATAAATACTTAAGTTTGAGCTAAACATTTAGTTAGCAAATTAAATATTTAGTTTAGGAAATAAATATTTATCTTAGAAATTAAAAGTTTAGTTTTGAAAATAAATGTTTAGCTTGGAAATTAAACATTTAATTTACACCTAAATATTTAGTTAATTAACTACTAACTTACAAGTTAAATATTTAGTTTGTAAATTAAACATTTAGCTTGGACATAATCGTTTAGTTTGTAAACTAAATATTGAAAGTGGAAAGTGGAGCTTGCCATCTAAATATTTAAGTTGCAAGTTTAAATATTTAGTTTGTAAACTATTTTAACTTGTAAAATAAATATTTAGTTTGGAACTATATTTATAATTGTATGAATTACATAGTGAAAATATGACTGAATTAAAAACCAAACTATTTTTCTCATGAAAGGTTAAATAAACCAAAATATTGCTGTTAATTTTTGACTATGTAACTTTACAAATGACACCCCATAAGATGGCCACCACAGCTAGCTGACTGTGAGAAGCTCAGAAACTAGATGTGACGTCGTCGTATCCAAGAGTTCCTCAACACACAATCCCAGAGCGAACACATCCTGCACGAAAAAGCAGAAAACGGCTAAAACAGCCGATGATTTAAAACTAGCATGAAAGGACTTCTTCTTTATCAGGTCTCTCTTGTAATTGAGTCCTCGAGGCTCAATGGGATTTACCTGTATAAATAAAGGTTGATTGATTTCATCTGAAAACATCTTTATTTTAAAACACATGAACGTCCAATAAATAAAATGCTACCAACCCGCTGTTCTGTGGCTGTAGTGTCTAAAGGTCAGCTGAGCTCTGAGCCGTGTGTCCATGTCCTGCAGGCAGCTGTCCACAGAGCACGCCGTCCTGCAGGAGTCCCTGCATAAGGAGTCTAAGGTCATCGAGCGTTTGTCCCTGGAGAACGAGGAGCTGCTCTGGAAGCTGCAGAATGGAGTGTCCTAAGTCACCACCTCCCCGTCCTTCAAACTCCAGTCTACTTGCAGCTCTGGCTTCATCAGCAGCACCCCCATCTCACCCATATAATCCCCCCCCCCCCCAGTATTCAGAGCCAACTTGTCGTTTTCTTTTTTGTCATTAAAGGTCAGAGCCTGGGTTAGGTGCTAAATGTTTGTTGGCCCATGACCTTTGACCCACTGCATGGAGAACAGGAGATCTTTGATGGAATGAAAGTTTCTGTTGTTGGGACATGACTGAAGCTGGGCACGTGACATGACGCACGACATGCACGTGAGACGAACACGACTTGCACATGTGCAGGTGTGTGCTGTAGAGCCATACTTCAGTATAACTGAGTTTGTACTTTTTTTTATAAAATGTACTTGTTTCGATTTCTGCGCCTGTTTTTGAGCTGAAGGTTGTATGATGACCACGACACATGTTCAAACCTTACTGCTTTAATTAGTTCTTGAATTTTCTGTCTGGATCAGCAGCGCAGTGATCCTGTCTGGTCTTTAATATTTGTTCTCAGCAGCTTGAGGGAACTCTTCAAGGACATTTCCTGACACAGATTAACAGTTGTGGTTTTGTAAAGAAGCAACTTTGCTCATTTCTCAAACAGACCGCAGATTTTAAAGTTTGAAACTCTGGGAACTACTGTTGATTGAGCCTAATTGAAATGTACATTTAATAAAGTCTTGTAAATCTGATGAAATAATGTGACCAATGTGTCCAAAAGCAGGAAAATTGTCTTTAACCACACTGAAATTTACATTCCCGCTCAGCTGATTCTACTTCAGGTGAACAAATGTCGCATTTACAGCTTTGACGAGTTGGACGCTGCATCATGATCGCGTATGGAGCGCATGAGGACGGAGTGTATCCTGCTGCTGCTCAATAATCCAGGTAGATTATTCTAAGCAGCTTAAGTCCATACCTGCAAACTTGTCGCTTTTTGGTGAAATTAGCAAATTTCAAACTAAAATTTAATTTATATGAATCCTGTAGATTCAAAGAGTTTTGTTTCAGGGGTCGGGGGCAGAGGCGTGGCAGCTTTAAGGAACGCTTTTTCCTCTCCGTCACTTGCTTTAGGAGGTTCCTCCTTTTTGTCGATGGGGCGGGGGAAAAGGGGAAGAAACCTTCTTCATTCTGTGAATGTGTGGTTGTAATCAGTTGTCATCAGCCTCTCGCAACTGTCTGTCGGAGTTTTTTGTGAACCCTGAAGGCAGTGGCGGTCCTAGCCTATTTGGCGCCCTGGGCGAGCAACCCCAACCACCCCTCCCCCACCCTCTCCAATTTATGAAATTCATAGAACTTATTGTTGGTGTGCACAGAAAGCTCAGGATTTACTGCACGAGACGGTATAAATTCAAATAAGCAATCCAACTGTTTTTTTTTTTTTTTATTAAAATAGAAAATGTATATATTTAATAATGAGCTATAAGTCTGTCTTTGTTTAGGAGCATTAATTAAAGTACTTCATTATAAAAGCACAGATTTTTTGTGTGACAGCCAGGGTTCTAACACAATCTCTGCCATTTCTAACTTGGCAAACCGTGCGAACATCTATCTTCCTCAGTTCATCACTCCGTACAAACTGGGACGAGAGGGATCTATCTTAGATGTCTGCCTCGCTGAAACATTAGCACCTCCAATGGGCCGTCAGTCTTCGAGTTCCAGTCATCCAAAGTACATCACAAAATCATTGCCTTTAGAAATTATAGCGGCCCATTATTACTTTTCCATGTTGTTTTAGTTTAAGAAGAATGTCAATCTTCAAGATGGTAATATTTTCCGCTGTTAACAAAATGTCGTCCTAAGCAGCTAACCAGTTGGCATTAGCAAGCTACAGCCTACACATTTCACACAAGAAATGACAGTGACACACAGCTCTTCTTACCTTTTTATCTTTTGCTCATTTCTCCACTTCTTCTTTTCTCTTTTTCCTAAACTGCCGCCCACCGCTGGAGGCCGCCCTGGGCGGCCGCCCATGTCGCCCATATAAGGAACCGCCACTGCCACCTATGCAATAAATCCAGTCGTGAAATTTCCTCACTCCTAAATATTCCACAGTCAACTGTATTATAAGAAAATGGAAGTGTTTGGGAACGACACAACTCGGTCACAAAGTGGTAGGCCACGTAAACTGACGGAGCGGGGTCAGCAGATGCTGAAGCGCATGGTGCAAAGAGGTCGCTAACTTTCTGCAGAGTCGATCACTACAGACCTCCAAACTTCATGTGGCCTTCAGATTAGCTCAGGAACAGTGAGCAGAGAGCTTCATGGAATGGGTTTCCATGGTCGAGCAGCTGCATCCAAGCCATGCATCACCAAGTGCAATGAAAAGTGTTGGATGCAGTGGTGTGAAGCACGCCACCACTGGACTCTAGAGCAGTGGAGGCGCGTTCTCTGGAGTGACGAATCACACTTCTCCATCTGGCAATCTGATGGACGAGTCTGGGTTTGGCTGGTTGTCAGGAGAACAGTACTTGTCTGACTGCATAGTGCCAAGTGTAAAGTTTGGTGCAGGGGGGATTAAGGTGTGGGGTTGCTTTTCAGGAGCTGGGCTTAGCCCCTTAATTCCAGTGAAAGGAAGGAACTCTGACTGCTTCAGCATTTTTTTACTCGATAACCAACACTGTAACCGACAATACGAACAGAAACGAAGAGCAACAAGACTCACCAAGGAGGACCAAGACTCACCAAGGAGGACCATCAGAGCAGGCCATTAGACTGATGGTTCTCTTTCACCATGTGAACAGCTAGTTCTGGAAGTCAACAACAAAATAGTGGATCCACTATGAGAAGGTGTTGCTTATAAGACCGAGTTTGTGGCATGCAACTCCTCAGGCTGAAGAAGTATTTTGGATAAAAGACTAACTGTTCAACAAGAATCCATCCAGAGGACCTGATTTTACTTGTCAGCTGCTTAAAGATCCCATATGGAATGCATGAAGACGTCTGCTCGGCTGCACAGATACAGAAATACCTCTAACAGCTGTTGTTCCTTCAGTCATTCACTTTACAGACCTGCTTTGATTTCTTGGCCACTTTAACTGATTTTCTTAAAGACCAGAGTTATTATAAAAAAAAAAAAAACTAAAAAAAAAAAAAAAAATCTAATGGCATCAAGTTTTATTTTATCATCAAGTTCATAGATTTTTTTCCACCAGATGTAGTATTGAAATGTTCATTTAGCTGTGTGGGTGTGTTAAAGCTCAACATGCAGTTAGCTGTAGTTTATCTTCAGCGTGACTGTGGTCTCTCCATGCTGGTTCTTTGCTTTGCACACATAGTTTCCAACATGCATGGTGTCCATGTGCTCCACCATCAGGGTGCTCTGGGAGACTCTGGTGGTGAAGCCCAGGCCTCTGTTGAGCAGCCTCCAAGATGACTGGACCTGAACAGGATGCTGGTCCTACAGAGAAAAACAGATTCATCAGTGTCATGGGAGCTGTTGGTGATTCTCAGGAATGTCATCAAATACTCTGTGGCACTTAATATAAAGTCCTGCTTGTGAATGATTTGATCCAAAGATGTCTGAAGTGGAAACGGTTCATATATCTACTACAGAAGGAAAATATTTTAATTTTGACCTTGAAAGAAAGAAAAGCTTTGCAGAGAGTAGTGAAGGCTGCACAGAAGTCTGTTGGAGTCAGCCTCCCCACCATCACAGACATCTACACCTCCAGATGCAGGAAGAGGGCCACCTGCATCATGAAGGACCCCACTCAACCAGCACACACACTTTTTGCCCCACTCCCTTCAGGCAGAAGGTTGAGGAGCATTTAGTGCAGAACCACTAGACTGATTTCTATGTCTGTGTCTACTCATGTTCAGGCTGTTTGAATGATTTTACATTGGTGTTTAGGGTATATCTTGGATTTTTAACTTATCGTTAGCATTCGTTTAGCATATATCTTGGTGTACATCTTGTAGATCAGGACTATTCAACTGGGAGCCGAGGGGCAAACTAGGCCCACGGGTGAATTCAGTTTTTCCCACAAAAGGGTTCATTTTTAAATAAAATTGGATTTTTAATCATAAAACAAATTTGCGTAATGACAACTTCTGGATGTCCGGCCCCTGAGTCTTGGCTTTCAGTAACTGTGGCCCACTGAGCCGTTTACTTGAATAGTCCTGCCTTAGATCCTTATATTCTGTTTCTTTTAATACTTTACATCTTTGCTAATTTTAGGTGTAACTGGGAGCTTGAGTACACAATTTTGTTCCACCTTATGTACCACATGAGAATGACAAAGAACCTTCAACTTGAAATTCATATTCTAGCTTTTTAAGGAGTTCTGTAGAAAAGTGGTGAATCTCTGAATGAATATCTTACCTGTTGTAGAAAGTTCTTTGAAAAACCACAGTTTGCAGAAACAATGTTTAGACCATACTGACTCTAATCTTTAATAAATTAAAGTTTAGGCAAAAACTGATTCACACACCGACTGAGACAAGCTGGTCTGGGAAGCTCAGTCCTCACCACCTCCTACAGGTGTGCAGTGGAGAGCATCCTGTGCTCCAGCATCAACGTGTGGCATGGAGGCTGCACAGCTGCAGAAAGAAAAGCTTTGCAGAGAGTGGTGAAGGCTGCACAGAAGTCTGTTGGAGTCAGCCTCCCCACCATCACAGACATCTACACCTCCAGATGCAGGAAGAGAGCCACCTGCATCATGAAGGACCCCACTCACCCAGCACACACACTTTTTTGCCCCACTCCACTCAGGCAGAAGGTTGAGGAGCATTAAAGCCCCCAGTATACTCCCGTGTACGTCCGTCCACGCGTACATACGCGGAGGGTTGAGACTTCGTACTCAAGCGTCCACCCCTAGCGGCTGCAGAGCAGGTTCGCAGACGAGGGGTGTTTACCTTCGGGACAAATTGAAGTTGCCGATTGGTCATTTGCAGACACACCTACTGGATTGATTGATGGGTCGTGGAATAAAAAAGAGCGCTGGCAGCCTCCGCTGCAGCGGTGTTCTGTGTTTATATGTTGTTAATAAAAAAGATCTAAAAAAAAAACTGGATCACTGGCCCTGCAGCCCACAAATCAGACCAGCCCAACAGGAAATCTCCAGATCCTCCCACAGCCATGCTGGACCCGAGTTTAATTCGCTCGTGACAAATTCCTTCATTTCTCACCATTTCAGTAATGGCATCAACGGAGGAGGAAGAGATCACTTGCCTTTTGGCAAAAAAAAACTAAAGAAAATGCCAGATCAGGGATAAAGAAGGGGAATTTAATACATTGGTGTCTCATTCAAAACAGTTTGTCGCCGGGCAGTTTATTGTGCGACACCGCGTACAAGGTCGTAAAAATTTAGCTTGGCGCGGACATGCCCAGTGGGGGTACGCTCGTACATCTGCGTACGTACGCGCTTACCTCTGTACGGACGTATGCGAGCGTATACTGGGGGCTTAAGCATAGAACCACTAGACTGAGGAACAGCTTCTACCCTGAGGCTGTTGGACTCATGAATATCTAACCAGAATTATCACTGAAAAAAAATCACTTTAAAGCCCACTTTATTGTTATGTGCTGCTGACTATCCATGCTGCTGATCTATTTCATGTTGCTGTGTTCGTTTGTACTCATCTGCTCACACAGACTCATGTCCGTGCTGCTGCTGTTCAGCGTATTGTTTTTGCACCATTAGTGCTTGGTGTATTCTTAGTTTAGCATATTTCTTAGTTCATAGCTTAGATCTTATTATTGTTTTTCTTTTACATTTTATACTTTTGGATGTAACTGGGACCCTGTGTACACAATTTCATTCTCATCACATGTACCACATGTGATGAGAATGACTATAAAGAACCTTGACTTTATATAACGGTGTACATTATTCTTAGTGATTCTGTTTGCATAAACTGCTGTGAAATTATAGAGACTACTACCGTCCAGATGATCTGACCGAACATTGCTAGATTTTATACCTGGATTAATGAGCATGAACTTTGGTGTTTTTAATCACTTCAGCATGACTCTCAGAAGAGTTGATGGGGGAGAGGGCAGGCTCTAGAGGCTGTCTTAGAACTGGCAATCTGTTCTTTTCCACTATGGAGTATGCTGTTTGTGGGAATCTGTTTGTTTTGATGGCTCCTCAGATTGAAGAAGTCCTTTGGATGAAGGACGAAATGTTAAAAAAAAAAAAAAAAACATTCAGATGACCTGACTGAACATTGTTGGATTTTTACTTGGATTATTGAGCATGAACTTTGTTGTATAGATACTATGGTTGTTTTCAGACAGAAGCAGTCCACATCCTGCTCACAGCAGCTGCTAGCACAGATGTTTAGTTCATCACTGTGAAACATCCCCAACAGTCCTGAGACCAACATTCCCTTCCTTCTGAAAGATTCACTCTCTAAAATACTTGTATGCACAGTCCTCTTACTAAAATGTTTCCAATTTAAATGATTATATGCAAAGTGCTCTTCCAACTAAAACATTAACATACTTTTTCTTTAAAATATATAAAGGGGTAGAATTTCTTAGTTCAAACATTTGGTATTTTTACTATGTTCCATTATAAATAAAATATGGATTAATGAGATTATCAAATGATTGCATTCTGTTTTTTTTATTTTACTTAATGTCACAATCTTTTCAGAACTGGGGTTGTTCCAAACTTTACCATTTTAATGTGGTGCTGAATCATAAATAGTTTCCATTATGTGAAAGGCCATGGCGCTGAATCATTATCCATTTGTGTAAAAACTGCAGCAGTCCTTTCTACTGTGAGTACACCATTTGTTGTCTTCATCCTGGCTACTAGAAACAATGACTCATATAAAACCTGCTTTTAGCCTTATATTAATTTCTTTGCAGAGCAGCAACAACCTGATGAGCCAGATGTTTTCTTCCCCTCGACCATTTAGTAAGTTTCCATTGGAAAAGGTTTGGAGAAAAGATGTTCTTTTAAATACCTAGCAAAAGTTTGGATGTACCCAAACTTGAAACGGTTTCATTGTTAGCGGCTGCAGAAATAAAATCATGATAAATGTTTGGAAAAAGCCATTTTCTGCTTAAACAGTCTTGAGCTTTAGTGTTTGCTTTTCTTTAGGAAAGTCATTTATACGTATCATACAACTCATGCTTTGGGCTTCTATGCAAACCTCAAAGCACATGTTTAATTTTATGTTTGATACTGCTCCCTCTTGAATCACCACCTTATCGTGGCTAGGATGGGACTAGGACAGTCACTAGGATAGTGACTCACGGTCAGCTCCAATGAGATTCTTGCAAACCATCAGGCGGTTAAGGATGGTAAAGCAGCACTTTACTAATACTAACACTGTTCAGTAAAGGTGGGGTGCTGTTGACCTCAACCAGTGATATTGTCTGAGGTGGAAAAAATACTTCTCAGACATTCTCAGTCCCATTGGCACATCTTCCACGGAGGGAACTAATTTGGCGGACTTCAGGGTTGGTCTGTCCATAACCATGGCTGAGGTTGCCAAGGTTGTTAAAAGGCCCTGTGGTGGCAGGGTCTGGGGGTGGATGATTTTCACCTTGATTTCCTTAAGGCCCTGGATGTTTTGGGGCTGCCTTGGTTGACGAGCTTTTGCAACACCACATGGATATTGGGGGAAGTGCCATTGGATTGGCAGACTGGGGTGGTGGTTCTCCTCTACAAAAAGGGGGAACTGGAGGGTGTGCTTCAATTATGGGGTCATAACTCTCCTTAGCCTCCCAGGTAAGGTCTATTCAGGGGTACAGGAGAGCGAGTCCAATCATTGGTCAAACCTCAGATCCAGGAGGAACAATGCGGGTTCCTTCCTGGCCGTGGAACAATGGATCAGCTCTTTACCCTCACTATGGTCCTCTGGGTCATGTGAGTTTGCCCATCCAGTCTACATGTGTTTTGTGGACTTGGAGAAGGCTTTTGACCATGTTCCTTGAGGTACACCGTGGGAGTGCTCTGTGAGTATGGGATTGCGGGCCTGTTGCTATGGGCTATTTGGTCTCTATATAGACGGTGCGAGAGTTTGTTTCACATTGCTGGTACTAAGCTGGACCCTTTCAGGGTGAGTGCTGGACTCCACCAGGGCTGCCCGTTGTCACGATTCTGTTCATAACTTTTATGGACAGAATTTCTCTGGGCAGCCAGGGGGCGGAGAGAGTCCGGTTCAGTGGCCTCAGGATTCATCTCTGTTATTTGTGGATGATGTAGTCCTGTTGGCCCCAATATTTTGTGATCTTCAGACCTCACTGGAGCAGTTTGCAGCAGAGTGTGAAGTGGCTGGGATGAGAATCAGCACTAACAAATCTGAGGTGTTGATGAGAAACAGCACTTCCAAATCTGAGACCATGGTCCTCAGTTGTAAAAAAGTGGATTTTTCCTCTTCGGGTTGAGGGTGAGGTTCTGCCTCAAGTGGAGGAGTTCAAGTATCTTGAGGTTCTGTTCA